TGTTCGATAACGTGGATACGAGATTACTCATTGATTCGAGTTCTCTTTCCTTCAAGACTTCTCCATTTATCCTGTTACGTTTCGCGAGACTGTTACGGCGACAATCTTTCGATCGATTAGATAAAACAAAGCTGCCTCGTGGATTATCGTGGCGACGCAACGTTCAGATAAAACTTTCCTGCATATATATATATATATATACTATATGCGTAGCTTCGTTTTCACAGGTGAAAGCAGTGAATTTCCTTGATCACGAAACAAGTGGGATGGTTCTGTTGTTTCAATCCTGTTCGATAAGAAACGGTAGATTTGTGAATAAACTGGCTGATCGGAGATGTAATCAAAGAGAAGGGCATGGCAAATTTACTACGCTGCTGACAACCTGGTCGTACGACTGGGTTAGGTTCTTTATTGCATTGAATGATTAAAGATGAATCGTCCTTTAGGCTTGGTTTGTTGGTTTTGCAGTGAATCTTTAATTGATATTGGATTGGATTCGTTTTTACATTACGCAGATGTTTTACAATGTTAATGGTTATTATGAGGTTAGTTTTTGAAGGTTAAGTTGTTGACTTTTTTTTTGTTAAGTAACTGGTATAACGAGCTGAAAATTAATATTGGACATTCTTCTTGCTGTATTTAGTTTTTTAGGGTTGATTTGTATTAGTTGTAGCAATGTGAACAAAAAAATTAATATTGAGATGAGTTTTCTTTTGTAATATTCAGTTAGTTAAAAATAGATTGCTTTTTCAAAACTGATTTTGAGAATTAATTTGTCAGTTTTTTATTGATTATAATGTGAACTCAGAATTATTATTGAGTTTTCTCTTTTTATATTTAGGTTGTTACATGTAGACGTTATCATTTGATGGTATCAGTTGATGTTATCATTTTATTATCATTTTAGATCCAATTTCAAAAGATATTATGCTGATTTTCTAATAACTGTAGCAGCAGTGTGGAAGCCAGGATTAATGATGAAAATTGAAATTGATAAAAAGGAGACATTTGTAGTACGGGCCTCCATACCCAAATACGAAACCGACAAGGGAAAATACAGAGGGAGCAGTTGGCGTAGTACGCAAAGCCTCGGCTTTGCTAAGCCGAAGGTGTCCCTGGTTCGATTCCCGGTTGGGTCCATCAAAATTTTTCCGTCGATTCCTACATTTATCTAGGGACTGGAATGAAAATCAGCTTAGAATATTAGAATTATTCTCAAGTGAATCCAGCCAAAAGGGTAAATGAAGGTTGTTGCATTTAAAATAAACCTGACATACAAATCTGAGTAATTAATATAAGGTGACTATTTCTTTTCAAAAATGATGATTTCTTTCAGATTACTTGAATCTTTCTAATATCGTTCAACGTCATATCTATTCCGATGTTAGATAACAATACAATTACAGAGCCAATTAGAGCCAAAACAGTAGTTGATTAAAAATACCCAACACAAAGTAATTTTATCTAATGTAAAAAAAGTAAAACAAATTACTCTCCAAATTTACAACACAAATTTGCTAATGATAACATAAAAATAAGCTGTTAGGTAACAGTGTAATCTGTTAACGTCTCAAACGATAAACAAATAAGCTGTAAACTTAGCTATAATCAAAGGGAAGGGTTCCATTTAATAAAATTTCACTCTAACCGGCGTTCACAGCCGATCATTTCCTATAATAATACACCATGAAATTACACGTGCATGCTTGTACTTTGCACAGTAAAATTAAAAGAAGTAAATGTATACTTATAGTACACAAAGAGGCGTGCAAAAATTATTACTAAGTAAAAAAAACAATGTGTTTCCTATGAATCACTATTTTCTTTATCATTTTTAAATAGATTACTATTTTTTTATCATTTAAATAGAAAGATAAAAAGTAGAATTTGTTTCATTTTAACTCTAGACGAAACGGAAATTCGAAATCTAACCCGCTTGACTCAGCTTTTCTTTTATAAACCGATATAGAACTGGTCGACGCAACAGGTAACATTCGTGAAATAATTTTATCGAAAAACAGTTGGGAAAAGAAAAATCATCTTAAAGAAATGTATCGTGTATAAAATTTAATGTTTAAAGAATTGTTAAAAAATGTTTATTACAAGATTTTTTAAGACAATTTTTATTTTTTTTTTATTTTTCTTTGTTTTTTCGTTTCTGTTGTTTATGGTTAATCTTTCCAAGTGATTCTTGTCAGACTGAGACTGCCAGACGACGAATATCATTATTCTTTCGAATTTTTTTTCAACCCTCTCGTACGTTACACAGTAGAAAGGGAGATTAATGCAGTGCTTGTTTCTGGTGAACGTTGCCAAGTGGAAAGAAAAATGTTCTGTCCCGAGTCGTTCTTCATGGTCTATTTTTCTGCGAGCAATTAAAGAACCTGAGAAGAAACGAGGAACGTGGCCGGTAATAATGATGATAAAAGGTAACAGTTACAGTGAAGAGTGATAAAGTGACGTTTTAGCAAAATTAATTCGGGAATTGTGCAGGATAAGACGAAATAAAAATTAAATAACCTAAAAATTTTTTATTCTTCTTTTATCAATTTTCCATAACCTATAAAACAATAAGAAAGAAACGAGTTTCCTATAGTTTTAAAGTTATATTTTACATAAAAAATCTTACCTTCTCCATAATTATTGAAATATTACAGTTCTTTTTCGGTAAAAAGTAGAATTTTTTTGATTAAGATGTAAACAAAAATGAGGTGATCTTTTTGATACAATGAAAAAAAAAAATGGTTGATCGACACCTGTGATTAAGATCCAGCCACCGCACGATTCAATTGACGCACTTCCTCTTTCTCAGGCAGCGAAGGTGAAATGTAACGTTTCACTGGGGAAATGACCGTGCGTTGCCGCATCGCGGCTGTTTCCGCTCAATATCACAAGTGCAAAGAGTTTTTTGTTCTCGTGGGATGCAGCCCACCGTGCAGTTGGCCTTTGTCCAATCTGCTGTCGTTTGTTTTGATGGTGATTTTTACCGTGAAGCGGTAAGAAAAATTGTCCGTCAGGTTAAACGTTTTCCATCGATCCGGTCTTTTTCACCCCTCGTAAATTAATCAACGCAGACATTTACAAGTTCACTTCACATCGTAGAGCAATTAATTTTGATATTTTATCAATGTCTCTTCTTTAAGAATATTATTCACAAGTTGTTGATTACTTTTTCAAGAAGAGACACGCAATTTCGTACTTCTTGTTTACGTACTGCGCATGCGCGACGGTAATCCGAATATCGTTCGAATTATTTCTATATTCGTCTTCCGAATGACGTGCTTGTCATTAACGCATACAAATTAATCTCCTGCATCTCGTTCACGGTGTTACATCCTACAGAAGGTATGTTACCATTTACGTGAATCATAATCGGATGAAAAATTCTCGCGACACTCGTAGTCGGCGTAAAAATATACCCCCGCTACGAAACTGCTTCTATAAGCCGATACAAATGAACGAAGAAAACGAACGATAAAATATGCTAGTCAAAACATTACAATCGTAACTTATCATAACTTGAGAGGCATTTAAACGGGTCTTAATCTTAACACGTTGCTCCTCAAGATTAAAAATTATGCGCATCGAGAATATCGAGTTATCAACACTCATAGAAACCTCACCTATATTTAAGGTTATACAGCGTCACCATAAGAAATTCCGTTTTAAAATGCACCAAATATTCCCATGTTTTAAGACAAAGAACGAAGCTTTCGAACATTCTCAGCGTGGTTTACATGATACAAAATCGACGATAAAACACGGACTTTGATACTCGAAAAGTTTTCAGTATTTTGCGACACCACCAAAGCAGACGATCCTCGTGACACCGCAAATGCCCGGGTAGTCTGCTAGAATTTCAAAAACGGCGCGCGAAACGTCTCACACACCGGGTCGCGTGCTCTCCCAGCAGTCGACAACGCGCAATTAAAAAAATGTTTTCACTCACCATTTGATGCTTATAAGGTTTCTGCGTATCCCAGCGGTATTCCTGAAGTTGGAGGGACTCGTATCGTTGCTTTTTCTTCAAGGGGGTATGGGAACGTCTCACGACTGATATCACCACAGCTGGGCCCATCCGGTCATCTTGCCGTATACCAAAACGTGTACTACACTGCGCTGGCGTATTTTGCCACCGACTCCCCTCTCTCACCCCTCGTCGATGGTAATTGCGTAACTGTCCGCGACACTTTCGGTCGTTCCGTCCTCGTCTAACTACCGGCGCGCCCTCTTCCTTTGTCTCTGTCACCGGCGGCGCCACAAACGTTTGGGAAATTTTAAACGACGCGTCGCGGTCGACGGTCAAAATGAAACTGAGCCCATGTGTCGCACGAAGTATAATCGGCCACCTGAGTTCGTGTACCTTCGGAAAACTCGAAGCGTTTTGGCTCATTTTTACCTTCGTTGCATCGGACGACTTTGATACGTCGTTCTCGTGCATTGTCAAGTGTGAAATCACTCGGAAGTTCGTGCAACGTGTCTAGCTTGTGTTTGTTCATGTTTATTAGGTGTGAACCGGTGTTTCGTGTGCGCTAATTACCCGAGAGATTGGTTAAACGCCTGTTTGTGGTTTTCTGCACTGTTTTGTCGGGTGAAAGTTGCGGAACGATCTCGCGTGTCGGTCAGTGACATTCGAAAATTAGTACAAGAACCCTCCGCGCGTGGCACTAGCATACGGAATAACTTAATTTCATCTGAGGAGAATCGTGAAAATTAACGAGGCGGGATTATTGGTTTGAAACTGCAACGAATTGTTTGTAAGTAGAATTACTATTAGATTGTTTATTAACATTCACAAAATTATCTAAAGAAGTAGTAAAAAGTGGCACAATTCTATACGGAGGGATCGCAACGAGAATTTAAAGGCTGTATAAAATATTTTATTCAATACTGACAGTGCTGTCAAAAAGGCAATTTTTGATAATACGATATTTACATGAATATACCTAGCGTATATATACATTCAGTGAAATATTTACAATTCTCATATTGACGTGTGAAATAAATAAATTAGCTACTACTAAACCAATCAGAGCCCATTGCCCCAAAAAATGCTGCTGCTCCAGATTTGATCGTGGCCCCAGCGGAATCGCTTTTCGTAGTTTCCTTGGTGGTAACTTTCTTGCGCTATGCCGACACACAAACAATTCTATTAACACCTGATGCTACTTAGAATACACCTAAAATCACCAATAATTAATTAAAAATTATTGTACATTATTGACACACCTCAAACATGTGCTAGAATTATATTTATTAATGAAAAATCAGTGAAACGAAGCGGAAAACGTAGCATGCAACACCGTTTTCTTACCGCCACCAAATGCACGCACTATCTTTATTTGAATGATCTGGCAATCTAAGGGTACATACGCATTTAAATGAAACAAATATCTATAAACAGGCTACACGGGAATAATTTTATAGTGTGATATTTAAATAAAGTTCGAAGGGCTGTATATTAAAATTATGAAATTTAAGAATACGATATATACCTGTGTTTTTTCTTGTAGAGTTACGCTTACGAGAGGTAAATTTCTTGCTGGGGCTGTTACGGTCAAAGGTGGGAACCAGGGTGCCGTTGTGCATAGAGCCAACACTGAAGGCGGATCTGACTTCACGCCTTCAGTGTTGCTGTGTTCACTTCGCGCGCCCAAAATTGAATGTAATTGTTCTAAATGGGGTACTAGGTTTCCTAGTATCAACTGAAGCAAAAAAAAGATAATTAAATAATCGCGGTTGATTAATGAAATAACTTAGAATCATATAAACGCTCACCAGAGATCTCTGAATGCTTTTCTTTACGTTGCTGTGGATGAAAGGATTAAAAACGTCGTAATCGAATGGATCGATTTTTGATAATACAATGTCGCAAGCTCTAGTCGATAAGTCAGATAGAGTTTTACTCTCGCGCGGTATCATAAGCAGAGAGGAATATTTTATATCGAATAATACTTGGAAGGCTTGTTTCTGTGACAGATTTGCATTGTTGGACGCTGTTATGTAGTGATTTAATAATTCCGTGACAGTATCTTCTATAATTTCATGCAGTACCTTCCTAATAATCAAAAATTTTGAATTAAAATATTAATAGAATTCAGTTCATCTAAACTTGAATAATTCATAACTTACTTTGGAAGTGTGTGTGGTATTACTTTATTCAAGTCCCTATTAACAGCGGTTAAAAACTTTTGTAATTGTATGGACGGCTGATATGGTACTAGAATTTTGGAATTTATCCTCTTGCCCTCTCCGGAATCCTCCTCGATTGTTACTTTCTCCCATTCTGAGATAACCAGATGTATTGGGTAACCATCCAGTGCTTCTTTTGATATAAACTTATCTTTATGCTCGCCTATTTTAGTTCTGTACGTCTTCGCCCAAACTGACCACACAGAGGTACTCTTTTCTTTTAACTTATCACAAACTGATTGCCATTTAGTGTTTGTAATGGTCAAACCAGACACCTTTGAAAGTGTGAAACACTTATTCAAATTTAAACTGAGCGTTGTCAACGCTAAAAGAAATCTAGCCATCACGACAGCGTTTATGTCACGTTTACCATGCTCAGGTTCATCGTTCACGCATGTAGTATTCACAAAATTAATGAAATCTTCGATCATGCTAGTGCTAACGGTTTGTAAATGTTCTTGGATTTCTGCACGGTCGGAAAACGTATCAGAAATTAAAGATATATTTGTAGATAGTAGATTATCCTTAAGAGACATCACACGTTCTGTCTCATACAAATATTGTTCAAGATCAGCTAGTAGAGCGTGCAAACTTTTATCAAAACTTTCACATAATTTGATGATATTTGGTGAATATCCTTTGGTTTTCATTAACAACGACCTCTTATTGTCTAGGCCACCATTTTTGGTGAGCTTCTGAGGAATGTCGTTTGGAGAATCTTTCCAAACAAACCACCGTAAATCATGCTCTGGATACTCGAATTTGTCGTGAATTACTTTACTCAACAGTTCAACTACGTCGGATTTTAATGCGGTCGTAGTTTCCATCCATTTATCATTTATGATATCTAATAAAATATTAATAATATTGTTACTCCCAATTTAATAACGAAGGGTAGGTTTTATATAATTTATATTTATGTTACGTACTTTTTACCCTACGAGATATTAAAGGTTGAAAAAATTCTACCCAAAATGTTATTTTTGGGAGGGAAAGCTCCTCCCATATCGAATTCCAATTTTCGGGTAGATTAATACTAACAGATTCTTCACGAACATAGTATAAGCCCTTTATGGATATTATTAGATCCAAAAGTTTAGTAACTTCGTGATTACAAAAATTGGAGACCCAGTCAAGCCATGATTTAATACTTTTTTGAAGATCTGGTATAGCAAAATTCTGTGAACCTTCTACAAGAAATGGTTTATGCTGTTTAGTCACAGAAGGAAGAAATTCCATCAATAATTCTTGATTCAAATCCAATTGAGAGAGTAAGCTATATGCTCCTTGATCTTGAATTTTTGTTAAATACTGTGAAACAAGACCTCCTGATTTATTCTCGGTATCTATAATTAATAATTTTACATTTAACGTTATGCTATAATACAATGAACGACGCGTGTGTAGAATATACAATTACTTACTTATGAAGCAAGAATAAATTAAATTGATTGTTTGAATTAATATCTCAATGCACGATTTTATTTTACTTTTAACATTGTAATCATTTTCATCTGTAATGATGGATTTAATTGTATGATTACGCATTGATATCAACTTTTCCAATAAATCTGGGAATGAAGTTCCATCCAGCAAGACAAATGCTGCTAGACAGTTTGCTACACTCTAAAATAAATTAGTATTTTTGATACTGTCATATTAAACTTAGATTATAATAGATACCAACCTCTGGTTGTACATCCAATGATTGTAACACAGTATTACATTCATTGAATATAATAGTTTTGAATTGACTAATAACATCCCATTGTTTGAATATAATTGGATACTTAATTGATAAGTCTGCAGCACCAACTTCAAATAGTAAACTATAATTTATGTTTAAAGCTATTAGATACAACTGTGTAGCAAATAATAAATCCTTATTTTCAATACTGGACCAAATATGTTGAGGTACATCCATTAAAATTTTTATTTGAATGATAATTGAATCCTGAAGATCTTCAACATTTTTACTGAAAAAATATAAATTTTGCACAGTTAATGAAATAAAAGAATGATGAATTTATTTAAATGGATTACTATCAAAAATACCTATTGTCTTCATTCTGAATTGGATCTATCTTAAAACCAATAAGATACTTGTTTTTTAATTCTCCAAATTTGTATTCAATGTTAAAGATTCTTTGAATGACACGTTCAGAAGTTATCTTCATTTTTCCAATAGTGTCTGCAGCCAGTATCAAATCACGGTACCTTTCCCTAAAAATGTTTGAATACTTATTGAGTACACACGAAAATCATGTTAATAACCTTTTAACAATAAGTGTTCCACATTAAAAAAACTTCTTTTTTTCAACAACTTTTTACTAATATTCAAAAGAGACACAAACGTTAATGTATATAAAAAATAAAAGACAGAAACAACAAATCACTTTAAGTCATTAAAATAGAAGTTTACCCAACTAAAGTTCTAAGTTCGATTTTCTTTCTGTCACTCTCATATTGGATCTTCTTTTGGATCGCCTCGATCTCTTTTATCGTGTGCTCCTTGAACAACTTGTTAATATCCAAATCTAAATAATTCGTCGCTGTCATCCTCCTGACAATTCGTTTCCACGTATCTTGGGTCCGGCTGTTTCCACGTAGCAAGAAATCAACGCGTATTTATTTCTCATTCTTATCTATAGCGTTCTGCAACGCATTGGCAATTGTCCGTTGGTTACAAGATGGCACTGCATGCATTTTCCTTCTTTCTCAAACGATAAATTACTCCTCGCATCGTAACTATTCTTTTTTTTATGTTATAAAGTCAAGTTAACTACTAAGATAGTTCACGTTTCTTTTTTTCTATTCTACAAATAACTATTCAGTTCAAGCTGCTTACAAGATTCATTCATGAACAGTGAAATTTATTACGCGTTGAAAAACAAGCGTTAGAAAGGGAAGATCCGATTTTGCTTTCGTACTTAAATACTCTGCAACGTTTCCAATGTAACTGCCTGAAAGTTCCAACGAAACGTTTATTTCTGGCGAGGCATTTAATAAGAAATCAAGGATGATCGGCGACGCGTGCCGTGCAGCCAGCCTGCAAGCACGCAATCGCCGGAGCACGTCACCTCACGACGCGACGTCGAACCACGGGACGAGCACGCGAGACGCCATATTGAGCGAATGTTGATTGAATGCGGTTTAGGTGTTTACGCGGCTCCGAATAAAACCCGTGGAAAAGCGCACCGGTTGTCGTCGTGTGGTCCGCTTCAATTATCCGCAAACGATCGGTTCGGCGTAGCAGCTGCATCACGCGGCAATAGAATGAGCGGCAGCGACGGCGAGGACGGTCAATGCAACAGGACGAGAGAAAGCAACGTAGTAGCGATGGGTGACGTTCTCGCTAAGAAACACACTGACGATACTCCTCGCGATGGGTGCATCGGCGTGGACGACGATCTCGCGCGACAGGACAACGATCGGACTGTCGACTACACGGAGGATGCTGTCAATTCTCCGATCGTCGCGGACCCCGTTCCTGTCGCGGTATGTTTCCCACTAGCGTACACTTCGCGACGATCGTACCACGAACACGTTCTACTTGCAGAGCGTGACACTCGACGAAAGTGTGGTCGATGAATTTATCAAAGGTGCAAGGGACCCCGAGAGCGTCGAGCTGAACACGACCGAAATGATTTCGGAGACGATCGTTGAAAATCCGAACATTATGAGCGTAGACAGCCCCTCCAGGGTGAAGGAAGCATGCTGCTGTGATACGTACAAAGCAAAGAGGTAATTGCTCCATTTGAAGTTTTAACAAAGTTTGTTTTCAATGCAGGGAATTGTTCAGAGAGGAATTGCAAAAGGCTATGAAGTTTCAGAATCTATGGACAGAGTTACGGCAGCATATACGTAGCTCTTTCTATGTTGCCTTACAAACATCCGGTATTCCAGGAGGTTTACACTTCCATCAGAATATTTTTCATGCGGATGATGTGCGTGAGATTGTGTTGCAGTAAGTTTGAAGGATAGTTCTGTGATGATTGGTAAATGTGGATTGATATTGGTGGATATAAATGTAGCATTTCTTTTCAGACTGTGTAAAAGGGATCCTCGTCAGTTATTTATGAGGCTAGTAAGCCTAGCCCAAGAATATGTTGTAGAAGTAAAAGTTCGATTATTAGCTCTTCTACATGATCGTAGTGTAAATAATTTAGCAGAAATTTTTATTATAGGTTAATATAAGTATTATGTGTTAAATGAAATAATTTGTTTCTACTTGTATTAATGCAAATCTTTGTTTCACATATTTTCTTCATAGGTCTTTTAGAAGATTATGATGCATTGATGTCAACAGCTTTAACAATTTCTGAATTTGTAAGACCTTTAAAGGATCATTTGTGTCAATTTAATTGTAAATTTCCTTTATCATGGGATTGTTTTATTAAAAAACTATATCAGATTTATATATATGATGATCCATTGGTACAAAACAATTTGCCACCTTTTATTGGGCAGGTAAATAAAATGACATCATACTGTTCTTTTGATTAAAATACAGTATCCAGCAAATATCAAAATGAATGCATATCTTGGATTTTACAGTTAAGAAAACATTCGCCTTTAAAAGGCTCGTTATACCAACGTCTTGTCAATCTATACTTATCGTTCGATAAGGAAATGACGGTAATTCGGGATTTATGGCCGGAATCGGAATCGTGGATGGTCACGTACAAGTAAGTGCTGGTGTGAATTACATTTTAACAGTAATAGAAATATATTTATTGATCATGTCCCAGGAAAAAAAATGTATGAACAAAGTTTCATAACCAGTACATATTTCAGTGCAGAACAAGCAGTTCGAATGACCACGCTTAGGCAAATAAGAGAGGGTTGGGAATTATTTACAGCAAATAAGAAACTTATGGAGCAACGTACGTTAAATAAATCGCCCGACATTGAGAAGTACGTAAACATAAATATGAGATATACGATATCACGTTTATAAATCAATATTTCTTGTTATTCTTTAATTTAGTGAATTAGATGAAGTGGATGGACAACTTTCGACGCTCACCTCACAAGCAAAGCTTGGCATATCAGAAATGGAAAGTAGACCTTTAACACCTACACCGGATTTTAGTTTGGATTCGCTCAATATGCTTCCAAGTATTGAGATAGTTCAAATTTTATTAGATAACTGGAACAAAGCTCAGCACCAGAAACTAGCCTACATAGCAGGTGTATTAACTGCTATGGATATTTATGCTAATGGGCAAGATGATCCAAATTTCTTGGAATATGTGCGTACAATTTGCCAGTTGGCGCAGTTCACGATAAAATCATTCAGGTACTTGTTGCTGTGTATTTCAGTTATAATTATTTAAGTATATTTTTAACCTGTAAATGTTTGTAATAGGGCACGTAATAAAGGAACTTGTTTGGGAAATAATGCAGAGGAGGGGAAAAGTTGTGAATATCACATGTGTTCAGGATCATCAGTATCTTCTATTGTAAGAACAATTTCCAAATACTTTTTTCAGATACTTCCAAATGTATCTCTTATCAATATAATGTTATTAATTGATAGAGTTAATTTTCAGGTTAATAAAAGTGACATGGAAAACATAGTATTACCGTTAGAAAATCCTTTCCTACAGCAGACAAATGGTTTTTTAGGTAAGAGAGTTAATATATTTATCTTTAGCATCGTATTATTTAAATCTTTCATTTAATTTCATTTTGAAAGACACAGCGAATTGTTCCGCGACGCAAGTGAAGAAAAAAGTAGAGGATGTAGAGATTAAAGAAGTAAAAAGCGACGAAAACGAAGTAAGAAATGAAAATGAAGATGATAGCGATTTGAGAACGTCTGATCCACAACCGTGTTCGTGCGTGTACCAACACGTGAGAGAAATAATGGAGAGGAAAATGGTGCTAGAAAATCCTCCATGCCTGTGTTTACTAAACTCTAAACAGAAGTGGGACACTTGTCCCTGTTTGAAAAAATGTAATTATAAAAAAAAATATATTCTATATATCATTACTAAAAGATTCCTGTGGGTGTAATGTTCGATAATATTATTAGCTGTACCTGAAACGGTCGTACCGAATGGTCATCCAAAGCCTGTATCGCCTTCTACCGTGAAGGTTAATCAAGAACCAAATAAACCTGCAGTGAAAACTGGTTCTACTCAATTCGCTCAAACACAGACAAGGCATTCTACAACACAAACGCCGAACACAACTCATAACCACACACCACCACTTCAAGGTAAGTATAAGCAACTGATCGTTTGATTATTTCAATCAGTAATCACTTTTTTATTCGTACTTTTAAGAGTATCTTGACCAAAATTCAAATTACCAAATTTCTAAGAAGATATAACGAGAGGTATATGTTTTTTCTTTAAAATTAAATAGGTACCACTCATTCACATACAGATGGACCTCTTCCAGACGTGGTAAAAAATACGGGTCCTACTCACAGATCTCATACACACAGCAATCATTCGTCGCATGCTTGTCACAAACAGGCTAATGTCGAGCACATTAAGAGAGTTTCGTGTAACGACTGTCAGTATTCACTGGACTACTTCTAACGTTAGTTATTTCACGATCGTTTCCGATTACCATTAAAGAACGAAATATATTTCACTCTTTCAGTGAGTTCCGGAGATGGAGATTGTTCGGATTCCGGGAGTAGTCAAGAGGATTCTTGTTCCACGAGCAGTTCAGCGCAAAGAGATTCCAGTAGACATTGCGACTGTTGTTACTGCGAAGTATTCGGCCATGGAGTTGTAAGTAGATTTCGTTAGAATTTTGATTTTATATATCAACTTACTTTAAAGAATTAAACAAGTATTCTTTTCTTTAGCCTTCAGTAGCACCGGTTAGTCGAAATTATAACGAAATGAGAGAACGGCTGCGGCAGTTGTTAACAAAGAAAAAAGCCAGGAAGTGCAAAGCCACGTGTAGCCCATCGAAAAGTCCATCGGAATCGGTGGTATCCAATGGAAGTACGGAAACAAAAGCAGTGACAAATTCAGCGCCTAGATCGAATACTCCAGTTTCAGCTATGCCCACGGTGCAACCTGAGCAACGGGATCAGAGAAATCTGGAGGAGTTGCTCGAATTTATTGAAGGCAATCATAATGGAAAGAAAGATAATAATAAGAAGGCCGAGAAGAAGGCTAGACAGAAGCAACGGAAGGTTGGTATAAATTCTAACTAAATAAATCTTTTGTCTTCCTTACACTTTTAACATGATACTGATCAGTATAATTTGGCATTCATTATAGCTGGAGGAAAAACTCAAAAGAGATAGGCAAGAGGCAGAAAGGCAAAAACTAATAGAATTACAGAAAAAGACACCGGAAGTAACGATCACCGTCGTAGACCCGCAGAAACCTGTTCCTCAAAGATTATTACCTCAGTGTAACCTACCCGAAGTATCTATTTTACCTACATCACTGCCAGTAGCATTGCCGACTGTAAAGCAATTAAGTAATAAAAAGAAAGACAAACAAGAAGTCTGTAGCAATAGTAGTAATACTAGTAGCAGTAGCTGTAGTAGCAGCAGTAGTAGTAGTATCAGTAGTATAAATAGCAAAATGAAGACTGCACCTGTGAATACGAATGTAAAGAGCAAAGGTATTAGTACCGGTAAAGCCGACAAAACGATGGTGCCTGGCCAGCAAACAAACAATAAGACGGCAAGCAGAATCGACAAAGCTGAAATTAGCGGCAAAAATAACAAAGCACAGGCGTCTAATAGCAACAGCACAAACGTTAAGAGTAACAATACTGCGGAGAAATCACTGACTGTCGACTTGAATGATAAAAAGTTGACGAAAAAGGAGAGGAAGAAGTTGAAGAAGGAGATGAAAAAAACAGAGGAGGCAAAAGCGAAGGAGGATACAAAGAAACCGGTTCAGACAGAGAGCCAACCTCAAATAGTGACAATTAAGAGGGTTATGGAATCTAATAGCGCGGAACCGACAGTCACGATCACGTTGAAAGGTCAAACACCGGCCGAAGATAAAGTTTTGTTCACACTGGTGAATGGTCAGACGAAGGAGGTTGCTGGTCTGAAACTGGAGAACGAACAGAACCAAAATATCAGCGGGAAGAAAAAGAAAGCCAAAGCAAATAATAATAACAACAACAATAATAATACTAGTAATAATAACAATAATTCGTTGCAACAGGGGAATAAGCAGCAGCAGTTCACTAATTCGAAACAGCAGGCGCAGAGTAAAATCTGCGACAGCAAGGGTAACGTGAAGCAACAGTCGAACAACGAGAAGAGTAAAGGGAAACAGGTGGACGAGAAAAAGGCTCAGCAGCAAAGTATCACCGAGACAAAAAGCAAGTCGAAAAAAGACAAGAAAAACACCGACAACAAGGAGAACGTGTTGCAACAGAATGTAGTGAACAAAAACAAAAATCAACCGCAGAATGTGTCCGGCAAGAAGCAGAATAAGGTTAACACTCCGCCCCAAACGCCAGTTTCGCAAAAACCGTCGCAGAACTCAAGCATCACTAATGATAGTAATAAAAAGTTAAAGGCACAATCACAGGACAAAAATGAACAATTGAGTTCCAGTAAGAGTAACAAAAACACGTGCACCAGCGTGACGATCAAGCAGACGAAGAACGATAATCAGAAAATTCAGAGTAAAATGACAAATCAGACGATGGTCAAGCAACGACCGGAAGTACAGTCGTCGTCCACCGAAAGAATGAATTCTCCATTGAGCAGTCAATTCAAAGATATTGGCGCGAACTCTAAGATTAACATAGAAAATTTAAAGTTACCACCCGGTATTACGATCACAAAAGTCGACGCTCCAACGAAACCCTTGCCAATAAGATCAGCGCCACTGCCCAAACCTGTGAATCCTCCTAAACAAACCACAATAATTGCTGCCCCAATGAGCGGCGTTCAGTCAAGTTATGCTAGCCCTCAAGCGGGTGGTAATGTAATCGTGGTAGATACTGGGAAGCTGAAGCAGGACCTTCTGCCTAAACCCACTGAAAAGGGTGAGTAAATATTCTATATTTTATCTTTAACATATTTATTATCTACCATTATAAGTTTCTAATTGAAAGATAATAACAATTGTTTTTTTTTTGTTATAGATATAATTAAAGAAACGCAACAAAGTCAAAGCACTAGCAGCAAAAAGAAGAAAAAGAAGAACAAGAATGGAGCGAATTCTGGTAATATCATAAACCAGACAGCAGTACAAAACAGTGATCCTTTCATGAACGATCACGCTGACGAACCTGCCAGAATCCTTCATAATCCTAATACAAACATGGTGACCATAAGAAACCCTGCGTTTGGCCCGATGAAAGTGCCACCTACCCAACAGGCGGCCATCATAAAGGTGTCGGAAAATGGGATGGTCACTATCAGAAGTCCTGCGTTGCAACAGGCAATTAACGCAGGCCTCACATCACCCCCAAAACCGGATTATATTGTGAAGGGTGATCTGTCGTCGAAATCGTCAACAGAGAACTCAAACATGAAACACGCGAATGGTATCATTCCGTCGAGTTTAGCGGAGCTGAGAAGCAGACTGACGCCTGACTGCACGACCCTAAGTGGTTTGGCTAACATACAAATTAGTAAAGTGACAAACGGTCAACCGATACCGGAGAACGGGATCAACTTGAAGGGGACAAGCGTGACGCTAACGAAAGTGAGGACAGAGGCAAGCATGGAGGACGTGCAAAGTGCGAAAACAGCGGTTCGAGAAGCGATAAACGCCTCGATAGCAGCGTCGTCTGGCGGGAAGAGCAAGAAAAAGAAAAAACGCGGAACCGGCGCGAGACAGTGCGGAGATGACTGGAACCTCGTTGGTGAGAAACAACAATAATCAGAGTTTAACATGTAAATTTGCTTCTTTCATTTTTTGTTTTCCTTAACACACCCCCGGGCTGCAGTTCTTGCTCCCGGAATCAAACAAAATTTTCTTTATCTATCTATTTGTATATTTATTTGTTTATTTATTGTTTATTGATTTGTTTATTTATTTATTTTTTTAACGAATGAAAGAACAGAGATACAAGAATTAAAGATAATATATCGTACACATTGGATATATGTATAGAGAAACACATAAACGTTTATGAACGTGCAAACGAGTAGGTTGAGATGACACTGACGACGGTTTTTCTTTCGTTTCGTTTTCCGTCAGGAGAGGGCAGTGTACCGCGTTAGGACGAAGTCTCGATGATCTCTGGCTATAAGTCGAAAGAGAGAAAATTTAATCAAATGTACCGGGGATGTGTACACTTCGGGATCTCCTCGAATTGGCCACCACGAATTTCTCGGGGGATTATCCGGAAGAGAACTCTGGCCAGTGAGCACTATCTTTTCTTTATTTTCTTTCCGCTTGTTCGCGCGTGACGACTTCGTGTTCGAATGCACCAACCAACCAGGTGACTGTTCTATCAAATTGTGCAATCCATAGTGATCGCATCTGCCACGTAACAAAATATTACTCGATCTTAGGATAGTCTGTAGCCTCTCTTTCTCTCTATCTCTTTCTTTTCTACACTTTAGGGATGTCCTCGATTGCATACGTGTATATGTATATATATGTATATCTTTCTTTCCTTTTTCTGTTTTCCCTCTAGTTGTTCCCCCTTCAGAGTCGATCATGGCCGCGAACACTCGAAACACTTCAACGCCAAGCATGACATTTTAGAGAGAGATAATTTTTTTATGTGTGTGTTAGACGATTAGATGTAAAAACGGATGCTTTTAGTCGACCGTGTGCGTGGAAAGAGAGAAAAGGGGGAAAAAAGGAAAGATAAAGAAAAGATACGTAGGTCACTCGAGAGAGTCACGCTTTGCTAAGTTCATTGACCATGACAGCGAGTTTACCCATACCTACTGTCCACCATAAATCACGATTGTGATACGTTTCACCGATCTTAGATAGATCGACAACGACAGAGTATAAGAATAATTTTTTAATCCACTCTGAATCACGTGTTTCAATAAAAACAGATATATATTTTTCCAATGTTATGATCTCTTATTCCTTGTTTTGTGCCGGAACCTGGCGTGTCACCCTGTGAGAAAAAGAAAGAAAAGACAAACTGCTGCATGCGTATGGATCACGTGAAGCGTTCTCTTTTCTCATCGTCGAGAACGATGTTTTTAGTAATCAACTCGACGCTCTCTCGTTCTCACTGTTTCCTCTCGAATCTCTCATCGGGGTTTGCCTCTTGTTCCGTTTTTTTTTTTTTTTTTTTTTTTACAGTATCTCGTAATTTCCATCGAAATTATTTGTTTTCCTTAGTTTGTTATTTTTACACCGTTTATTTATTATTACTGTTATTTCTTCTTGTGCAATAACCCCGTATACCTAGGCAGTATTTTAGTCCCGAAGAAAAAGGGGAATACAGTAGAAAGAAAACGAAAAATAGCAAAGAAAAGTGTCGAAAAACAAAATGCACAAGCAGACTTTCCCCTTCACTCCCGATCTTTAGGGCGACCGATTTCTAGTATTCAGAGCGTGTCTTTTCCAGAGAGCGTATTCACGCCAAAAGATATAGACCTCGAGGACGGGGAGATGGACGACGCTGAACGCGAGCTAGAGGCCTTCAAGAGGTTTTGCCTGCAGTCGGTGCCGCCGCCGCGTAAGGAAAAGGTCAATCTCAACATCAAGGACATCGTGCTAAAGAAGAAGTCATCCTCGTCGTCCTCGGCGGCTGCTACTGTGATCGCCGCGAATTGATTTCTCTTTCGACTAACATTAGACGCCCCCTACCACTACTACCACCACTGCTGCTGCTACTGCTACTGCGCACGCGCGAACCAACGCGCCTGTTTCACGTGCGTGTGTGTGTGTTTGGCTTGACGCAGAATTAATGGAATTTCTATAACGTTCGAGAAAAATGGGAGACAAGCCGAGATCTTTTCTTTTATTTTTTTTTTCTTCTTTTATAGAATATCATTCTCTATTCATCATAGATCAGACAATAATATATTATTCTCCATTGTTAAATTGTCTGATGATTATTTTATCCGTGAGTGTGTCATCTCCGTGCGAAAAACATCATCCTCCATGAACCTTTCCTAGTCGGAGGACAGTTCGCGCCATCCCGTGGGCGAATTGTGTGGCGCCCACGGTTAATTTTAGTTCCACTACTCACTCGCGAGCTTCACTCCGGTGCAGAGTGCGCGCGCATTGCTGCGTCGTTCGCGTCGTCTCGAACCGATTCGTAATCGTGATATATCGCCAGGGGAAACATAGGGGCAACAATAAGAAAGAACTCACGCACTGTTCATTGTACACGCGTGATATCAATCGTTAGAGCATTCTGCTATTTTTGCATTGAGCCAATCACCGACAGAACGTGTAATTGTAATATTGCCACGGCCGATGCGATCTTACCCGTGAGCACGCGACCGACCGGAGATGCTCGCCGATTTCCAGGTCCCGGCGACGGGTTTACACCCACTTTGTCACGAACGATCGTTAACGACGGAAAAGAGAGAGAGAAGTACGTATAAAGGATTTAAACGAATAAGGGCAGCCACCGTGGTCACGACGTTGAATAACGTTCGCGACGAGAAGACGAAACGATATATTGTCGCCGTGTCAACGCCTAGTCGACTTCGTATTTTTAATATATTTAGTAGACGAGTGTGTCGCGATCGCGATTATTACCTTCTTCCATGCGTGGAAGAGGCGAAAACAACGCGGAACAATGAATACTTTTAGGTAAAATGTACGCGAAAAATGGGTGGGTGATGCGTGACATTTTTGTCGAGACAGCGAGCCGTAGGTATATAATATGTTATATAAATATAAAGTGTATGTATGTATATGTATATCTATAAATATAGTAGGAACGAATTTTCCCGTCGGGACGGTGTTGCGAAAACGATCATGGTGGTAGCGATACGTGACTGTCTTCTCGGCGCAATACCTTCTCCTGAACTTTGTCCGATTGGAAAAATCGTTCACGTCGCGCTGTCGAGGATAGATCGATAATCGCGCGAGGGACGTTTCACGTCGTAGTACCGACGATCGAACATCGCGTCGCCACGATCGTTATCGCTAGCTTAAAGCACGATCTTATGTCCGATACACGACACCACAGTACACACGGAGACACCTTACTCCTCATTTTTTTTTTTTTTTGAATAAAAGCAGATATGCATTTTTACCGAAAACTCATGTGTTTAGATATCTCCGTGCATCACGATTGTCCTTCCTTGTTGTGGTTCGTTCACTTCTCCTGTTGGGAATGGGTGGTGATGCAACTGTGCGACGTTTTTTTTGCACTCTGTGGTACATGTAGTATATTTTTATACGAAGTTTTTATACGAAAACTTTTAATGAAATACGAGGGTGTGAGTTTGGAGAATAACGTTTTATTGAATGCTTTGTTACAATGAGTACTATGTACATGCCAGTTGGAGAAACGTTAGTTTCAATATATCTTCAGAAATACCACAATTTTTTCTTTTATTCTTTCTAACGAAAACTACGATAGATTGTTTTAAGACAGATAAACGAACAACTTACAACGTGGCCAAGTTGTAATTTTATTTTTAATAAATATAACCTGAATTCCTTTCAGGATACCTTTCTTTCTTAACTATACCATATTTTAATACGCATATACATAATTTTTACCTCATTGACAATCTTCACACATTTTTATTCTTGATGGTATGAAAATGTTAGAATACACAATGCAAAAACATAGATCCTGGTGATACCTTATTAGGTCCATAAACACTAAGATAACACCAGAATAAACACGTCGTGAGAAACACGAAACCCACGCGGATTAAACAAAGACTGCATGCAGATCCCGAGTGGTCACGATCCGTACGATTTGTATGCACTGCGGAACAAATCGATCTGACATATTCTCGATGACCAGGCGCCAGATCGGCGCTGCGATTTCTCATGCGAGCGCCGTTGCAGCTCGCCTCAGGTGCATGAATTATTCCACAGAGATGAACGCCTCCCGTCGATGAAACGAATCGAGGCAAACGAGACGGGGCTATACCAGCGGGCTTCCGGTTTTCCGGAAAATACGACTCTCGTAGTAAGATTACATAACCAACAAATGAGGTCGCTGCTCTCGATCCACCGGCCCACTTCGAGTCACGATTTCGCAAATGCTTTTATTGTCCGGCTTCAGGTGGACTTTACGGTCTAGAAGTGGGAGATGTAGAAGAAGTAGTGACGTCTCGCAGTTAATCAGCCAATAGTGAAGGAATGAGGCTATCGCACTTACTAGCCAATCACGATAGGAGGAAGGATTGAGAGCATCGTTAGAAATGATGTATTATCAGGTTAGTTGATTTTGAAATAGAAATTCTTTGAATTTTTCGTTTTTAATAATAGTCATTGTAAATTAGAGCATAATTGCATGTAGTAAGCAATTTAATATCGATATTTACAATAAATTTTTAATTGCTTTAACATTACTAATAATATAGGATAGTGAAATAAAGTTTCTATTTTATTTTCAATTACTTTAATTGTTGAATAATTAATGATTCTTGTTAAATAACATTTTAGATGGAAGTTTATAATTATTGAAAGTATTAAATAAATTTGTTGCATGATTTAACTTAATAAAACAGCTTAATTTATTGATTTCGCATTGAATTAACAATTGCATGCAGTAGATTAGTTAAAAATTGTTTATAACTTTTATTAAAAATTGAAAAATTGATGTTCTTTTTATGTGAATTACAGATGGAACTTTCAAGCCACCGCAGGAATCAAGGAAAGGACTTAAACATCACGAAAAATGAAGAAATGCAATTATTTATCAAAAAATTAATTATTTATTGTAAAATAAGCGTACAAAATGTATTTTACAAAAGGCTACAATATACCAGTATTATTTTACAGCATTTTACCTTCTATTTATTTCTCCTTTACGCACTACATCCACTTCCTTTTGTGAAACACTCATTCTTTAAATAATATTACATTAAAAAATTAAGTAAACAAAGTCCGGATAGTGTTAGGAACCGGTAAAAATCGCGAAATTCGAGGGAAAAACTTGCGCGAAAATGGCTTAGGGATATCGAAAAATTTCGAGCGGCTGCAAAATGGTTGACTTGCACTACTTAGCGATTTCGAAATGATTCGAGCGTCTGAGAAATGATTTAGTTTACTACTTGCTCCGATTCCGAAAATTTTCTAAAATTTCTCAAATGCCGCAAGTAGTGCAAGTCAACCATTTCTCAGACACTTGAAAACTCGTTGTCTGAGACATGATTGAGTTTACTACTTGCTTCGATTCTGAAAAATTTCTGAATGCCGTAAGTAGTACAAGTCAACCATTTCCGAGGCGCTCGAAATTTTTCGGCATCTCTAAGTAATGCTAGTCAACCATTTCTCAGACATGCCAGAATTCTCTAAGTCCGTATAACTCCCGAAATTCTATACCGAAGCAGCTTAGTTTATTAATTTATTAATTTATTTAAAGCTTCTATTTTATTTTCGAGTACATTAATCGAAGAATTAACAATTGCATGCAGTAGATTAGTTAGAAAATGTTTATAATTTTTATTTAACGTCTGTAAATTAATGTGCTTTTCATGTAAATTAGAAATGGAGGGGTTCATCAGGCCACCACAGGAATCAAGGAAAGGATTTCAATATTAGGAAAAATGAAGAAACGCAATTATTTATCAAAAAATCAATAATTTATTGTAAGATAACTGTACAAAGTGTATGTTACAAAAGGTTACAATATACCAGTATTGTTTTACAGCATTTTACAATCTATTCATTTCTCCCTTACACACCACATCCATTTTCCTTTGCAAAATAGTCATTCTTTAAATAATATTCCAATACAAAATTAAATAAACTACATCCGGATACAGATAGGACCTCGTAATAATCCAAAAAATAATGGAATACTTGGAAAATTGCGCGAGAATGCAGACTATTTACATAATTCACGCAAGGCTTTACAATTTTTTTTACAAAATATATTCACTATTGAATTTACATACATATATGCAAATGTATTTAATTGTTTCAATTATATATCATTGCCTTATATAATTCTGTTTCTTCATTTAACGGTAAAATGTTTTTCTCAAGCAATTTAAAAGGGAGTCGTACGTTTGAATCAAACGTTAGTAACAGTTACTTTATTTGAAATTTACGTTAGCTAATGAAAAGTTTCAATACGAACTAATTCACTTTGTGAACGCATAAAATTTTGAAGAAACGATAATCTTCAACGGAAGTCAGCACTTCGTAACGAGCAGAACCGGAAAGGAGATCAACGGTGCGGGGAATATTAGACATTGGCATGCATCTTAGCGTTATATTCGCATCGCGTGCAACCGCCATGCACCCACGCACATTACGCATTATGTACGTATTTACGGCAGTCGGAAGACAAGTTGAGTCGTTGACTTGCCACACTTAAGTTAGGAAACCTTAGGCCATTTCGGCACTCGTGACAAGTAACAATTTGAAAATTTAAACAGGCATTACAGTTTCATTTCAATCATAAAATGTAATGACTTTTCAAAATCGCAAAAACATGTTTGGATAAATGTATATCCATTTACGATAAAGTTTCATTTGAAAATTTTATCAGAAACTGTTTCATTGACAGAGGAAAAATCACTCAAAAATTTATGACGCGAAAAATGGCTCCCCGGTTGCAATTCACCGTACTTATTTACCGGGTGCTGACGGTTATCTGTGTGTATTTGGAAGTTAATGACGCGCATTTTAGTTACCGCCAATCGCCGCTAGATGGCGAAACCGTT